AAGGTAGCTGAGGAAACAAGGATTGAGGGAAGGAAACAAGGAGGGATTGAAAGAAACAAGGAGGGAAGAAGTATCCAAGAAGGTAGCTGAGGAAACAAGGATTGAGGGAAGGAAACAAGGAGGGAGGGAAAGAAACAAGGAGGGAAGAAGTATCCAAGAAGGTAGCTGAGGAAACAAAGATTGAGTGAAGGAAACAAGGAGGGAGCGAAAGAAACAAGGAGGAAAGAAGTATCCAAGAAGGTAGCTAAGGAAACAAGGATTGAGGGAAGGAAACAAGGAGGGAAAGAAGTATCCAAGAAGGTAGCTGAGGAAACAAGGATTGAGTGAAGGAAACAAGGAGGGAAAGAAGTATCCAAGAAGGTAGCTGAGGAAACAAGGATTGAGTGAAGGAAACAAGGAGGGAGGGAAAGAAACAAGGAGGAAAGAAGTATCCAAGAAGGTAGCTGAGGAAACAAGGATTGAGTGAAGGAAACAATGAGGGAAGGAGGGAAAGTAACAAAGAGGAAAGGAAAGATTAAATGTTTGTATTTCCGAGGAATCACATTTTCATAAATATATTGATTAATTTGAGTTAGGAGTTCTCTATTTTGTGTGAAGTGCGTGCGTGCGTGCGTGCGTGCGTGCGTGCGTGTGTGCGTGTTGAGCGCTCTCTGGATTCACAGAGTGAGCGAGAGCCGCTTTGGATTCAGTAAATACCTATTATCACCTGAGGGAGGGAAATGAGCTTCATTTTAAAGTTTCAACAGCACTGAGTGAAGTACTGCTACCTGTGTGTGGCTGCCAAAGGGTACATTGTAAATTATGTCACATAACGTTACCCATCATGCACTGCTGCACCTTCAAGGGTCCATCTTAATTAAAAAAAATACTTACTTACTTAGTGGCTTCCGGCTATGCAGGTGGCTCTGGGATGAGATGTGTGCCTCTTTTCTTATATATTTAGTATTCATAGACTTAAATACATCACAGCATCATCTCTACAAAGTCCTCGAGTATTCTGGGTAATTTCCACACTCTACATTGAGATGAGTTTTCATTATACTGCATTATACATAATAAAAAGTCCCAAAGGCAAGGTCTGTTCATTATCCACAGACACTTTCTCCGGAAAAAAGATATTGCTGTTGAATTTTTTTAATGTAATTCCTCACTTGAAAACAAAGCTATAACTCACAAATCTGACAAGTAAAGCCAGTACAGAAGTAGGGTTGCAAAATTCCGGGAATGTTCAAAGATGGAAACTTTCCATGGGAATAAACTGGGAATGTTCTAAATGTAAGGTTGGCTCTTCATAGGGAACTTAAATATATTTGGGGAACTTATATTTGAGCATAATCTTGACTAAAACAAACAGATGCCATTCAAGTACACTTGAATATCCATGCCATAGCACACTGCTTACTATTGAGACCACACCCCCTACAGGCACTGTGCATTCCTCCATCACATGCACACATGATTTTGAGAAGACTGGATCACACTTTTGAGCCCAAAGCACGACAAATGAAGCCACATCTTTTCATTTAACATTTTGAATGGGACTTTGTGGGGATTTTTGGATGGGGGGGTGCATTTTTGTTCATTTTTTAATGAGTGGGGTTGGGGGGATGAGTAATATTTAACTCAACATTCCTGTTTTCGTTCTTCAATTAAACAAATAATTGTTCAATAAAATAATTAAAACTTGTTCTGTTCTACTTAAAACATTTTTTTAATTTTGCATCGAATATTTCCAAAATTCCCCAGCTTAACTTCCCATGGAAACTTTCCGGAAACTTTCCGGAAATTTATCGGAAAGTTTCCGCCCCTTTGCAACCCTATACAGAAGTGCCTTACACTCAAGAAAGATGTTGGATTGTGTAGAAGACTATGAGATTACTTGGTAATCATCTTCTTAATGAGTTGTTGCTTGTTTCAAGTCTTTTTTAATACTGAGAAGTAAAGCCAACATGTATAAGTGCCTCAAACTTAATAAAAGGATAAGTCACATTGTTTAGAAGTCTATGAGCAAATAATCCTACTTCTCACTTGTTTATAACTCAGTGAACATGTTCCTAATGAGTTGAGCATGGAGTCTATGTTCTGCTCACAAACCTAAAAAAAGGTCTTTCTTCACGACTAGATGCTACTTTTTTAGCCGACCCAGACCACTGGAAAGTCTCATTAGTCAGCACATTTTACACTTCACCGTTTCTTTAAACATCCACAGAGGTCAAATGTTTACAATCTATACTACCAGATGGATCCTCCTGGGTAGCGTTTGGGCGTTCGATTGCAACGATCTCATTAGGAGAGCTGCTCCGCTCCAAATTGCGTTTTAACGTTGGCTTGGTCACCCGCTGAGTAACAAATGTACAACCCAGAGAACAAACAAACAAAGTCAAATTTAAAGATTTAATAGAATTGCAGACGGCTTTAAGCAAAAAACTGAAATTTAAAGACAAGAAATAAACAAGAAAGTAGAAAATATACATGTTGAATTTACAAATTAACAATAACAAGATATTAAAGCAAGGTATTATATTTACATAAGTATGTGACAGATGGAATATTAAATATTAGACTGAATACATCAATGTCAAATGTACAGTGGAGAGAACAACTATGGAGCAGAGAGTTCTCTTCCAGCCAGAGGTGACTTGTTGGACAGAGTTATTGCAGTAGGCAGGAATAAACAAATAAATAAATAATAATAATAAATGAATCACGACACGTCTCTGACACGGATCAGAGACGTCCCGACTTGTCTCGGAAACACTCCCGTTGCTAAGGGCTCGCAATGTGTGACCTGGAGTAGCTTTTCTCCTCAGTCTGCTCCGCTGAAACAGATCCCAGGTGAGCAGCGAAAAACACTCTGACCGGAAAAAGCTCTTTGAAATCAGAAGCGGCACATTAGGCTCGCTCTCAGCTCAGTCTTTTGTTGGCTCGATGCTATGGAATCAGTTTTGTGCCATTAAAGGTCCCACGTCAAGGCCATTTCTACTGATCATAATTCCATTGTTGAGGTCTACTAGAATACATTTACATTGTTCAATGTTCCAAAATCACATTGGTTTCTCATACAGCATCTCTCCTACCCCCCCCCCCCCCCCCCCCCCCCCCCCTCTCTATGAGCCCACTGTGCTCTGATTGGTCAGCTCGCCCACTCTGTTCTGATGAGTCCACCACCGTTACAGCGGAGCATCAGTGATTATGTGTTTCAATGGCGTCTGTTAGCAACCAGGAAATGACCCCAGTAATGACAAACAGATGAGAATGCTGCGTGGGGTCTGGGTGCCGTGTTGGCGGGACGTTGCGCCCTTTGAGGCTCGAGAAGCGGACAGTGTGTTAGAGTTTTACTCGCTACACGGTGTACTTTGAGGGTTTGTGACTCTGCTCACCGTTTACATGCAGAGAAAGCTACATAACACACAAGGGGACGGGTAATAACCAGAAAAGCATATGACGGGACCTTTAAGAGAAAGCAACACTTTCTCAGAATCAAGCAAAACTAGGAGTTTAAAAAAAACTGAGTCAAGCTAAATAAATGCAATTTCAAAAGTAAAACTATAAGTTGCAAACACATCATTTGTGTAATCATGTAAACTATTCTTTTTGTTTGCAGTTCTCTTTGCTTCTTTCTCAATGATCAGACTTTTGCGCCAAACAACAGCACCAGAGCAACATGAACATCCATTACTCTCTGGTTCAGATTCATCAGCTGTGTCTCTATATCCCCCTCTAATATGTTGTATTGCTCTCATTATGACGTGCTCTCATGATATCTTCAATTAAAACAGATTGAGTTTTAACACTTAATGCTAATTTGTGATGAAAACGATGTGTTTGTTACAGGTGTTCGGGACCGATCACGAGGAAGTGATTAAGCATTTTACAGCCATGATTTTTCTGTTTCCAAGAGGTTTATTTGTTTACAATATAACCTTGAGATGTTTTGGATGGTGGAGAAACAATTTAAAGCATCATTTTCTTTTAGATATTGATAGTTTGCTTCATAAATAATAAAGCTATTAAACTGGAAATATGCCTGGAATATTGGAAAACTAGGACAATAAGATTTCCAACATTTGATCATTTTTGTCACATTTCGTTATTCACTGACTAGATGATGCATATTTGTTACAATTTTCTGCTATTCTACAGAGAATTGGTCACCACTGTAGAACAAGGACCTGTGAAGAATTGTGTACATTTTAATATATATATCTTACAATGTGGTTCTGACATTTAATAAATGGGAAATGTGAAAATAAGTTCTCTATTTATTCTTAAAGTGGACCTATCATGCTATATTATAATAATATAGTGTAGTACCATACCTATATAAGGCATATTTATACTTTTTTTTTTTCAAAATACCAAACAGATCATGCATTTTAGCCATGCCTCATTTCGCTCAATTTGACAATTTCTAGCTCTGTTTTAGCAAGGGCAGATTCAGTGAGAACAGCACCACCTACAGGCCTGGCATATGTACTACAGCGTCTCCAGCGCTTTCGAACGGCAATGGCCGTGGCTGTCTCCTCCTGATTGGTGGAGTTGGCCCAATAGCCGTAGCGCCACCGTCCTGACGTCAGGACAGTGTTCAAATCTGGATCAGTTTTTATCAGATCCGTTGCAGCCCCTTTTTTAGAGATTTGGGTATGGAGGAAAATAGAGAGGGTTGTGTTTTCTGACACTTGGTGAGTTCCCTGGAACACCGGGGACACATATTCATGTGTAAAAGACGTACAAAAGTGCATTTTGCATGATAGGTCCCCTTTAAGAGACTCCTTTTTTGAGCTGATTACGCTATAATCACCCCATGGTTACAGTATGTATATGTTTGACGTCATATACATTTAGATATTCTACCCTATGATTATCTTTGTGTTTTTGCCCAATTGTTATCATGTTTTTTTTCAGGATATTTTCTCTGTTAAGCAATATACTATACAACAAGATTCGTTTTGGTTTTAAACGATAGACTTTAATTCCTTTCCCCCACTCTTCCTCTCCAGGCGTGTCGATGCCCATCCCGGTGATCGGCCTCCACAACGAGGACAAGGTCTTTGTGAACGGCAGCTGTGTCCTCAACGAAGAGCGCTTCATGCTGATTGGCTCTTTCGTGGCCTTCTTCATCCCGCTGGTCATCATGGTGGTGTCGTACTGCCTCACCATACAGGTATCTTAGTCTCTGTTTGCCCTCTGAACACTTCACAACCCCCTGTGTTTCTTCCTCTTAAAGGTCACCTATTATGCAAAATCCACTTCTTCATGTCTCTTCTACATCAACATGTGTCCCCTCTTCTTCATGTCTCTTCTTCATCAACATGTGTCCCCTCTTCTTCATGTCTCTTCTACATCAACATGTGTCCCCTCTTCTTCATGTCTCTTCTACATCAACATGTGTCCCCTCTTGTTCATGTCTCTTCTACATCAACATGTGTCCCCTCTTCTTCATGTCTCTTCTACATCAACATGTGTCCCCTCTTCTTCATGTCTCTTCTACATCAACATGTGTCCCCTCTTCTTCATGTCTCTTCTACATCAACATGTGTCCCCTCTTCTTCATGTCTCTTCTACATCAACATGTGTCCCCTCTTCTTCATGTCTCTTCTACATCAACATGTGTCCCCTCTTCTTCATGTCTCTTCTACATCAACATGTGTCCCCTCTTCTTCATGTCTCTTCTACATCAACATGTGTCCCCTCTTCTCCATGTCTCTTCTTCATCAACATGTGTCCCCTCTTCTTCATGTCTCTTCTTCATCAACATGTGTCCCCTCTGTGGAAAGAGACTCTGAAAGTTTCAGGAACAAAGATTCTCTCTCTTTTTGTCCTGATCCATTTCTATAAAAACCTGTCTGAAAATGAGCTGATCAGATTTTGGCCACTTTATGATGTCATAACGATGTGTTGGCTTGTGTAACCATTAGCCAATCAGCAACCAAGGTAACCCCCCCCACCTTATCACCTGAATCTCCTCCTAGAGCACCATTGAGTTCTTTGTAACCAAATCTCTCTCAGAGGGGCGTGGGGAGGGGCTCCTTATTTTCATCTAAAGTAACAGACAGAGAATCAGCACTTTGGAAACAGGGCTGAAACAGAGGGGATTATGGGTAATGCTGCAATGATCTGTTTGGTGTTTGGAGCCAAACACTTCAGAGACATGTTTTGTATATATCTGAGACCTACAATATATTGATGAAAAACAGTATAATAGGGGACCTTTAACCCCTCTCCCTCCCTCTCCTCTCCAGGTGCTCCAGAGGCAGGCCATTGTCTTCCTGTGTGAGTCAAAGACTTCCTCCCAGCAGCCTTTGCACCCACCAGCGATCACATTGCAGCCTCCAGCCAGCACCTTCTCCCTTCCTCAGATCAACACCATCTCTCCGTCAGACTCGCAAGGTGAACCCTGTTTATTTTAACCCTATATGTTTTATAATTGTTAAACTGTGAGTGCCACAAGTTTTTAGTAGTGGAGTTGTATGACCCTTATGATGTGCCGTATGAAGAAGTACTCAGATACTTAAAGAGGCCGTTATATGTTTTTCGGACCCCTCTCTCACAGAGTTGAAGCCCCCTCCTCGTCAGAGCAGACGCAACACGTTGAGCTGTCTGAAGGCAGCAGAGCCCGGCCTGCTGCTCCGCGCCCCCCAGCCCGACTCCATCAGCATCGCGGGCGGCTCCGAGGTGGCGTCGCAGCTCAGCTCTCCGGCAGCGGGACACGGGCGCAGCGACACCTCGGGTTGCCACGGGCGACGAGGGATGATGCAGGCCATAAAGAACGAGAGACGGGCCTCAAAGGTGAGAATGGGTTGTAGTTTTAGGTGTTTAAGGTGCAGAAAACAGGTGGTTTCATCAGAGATGGCAAAAGTACACACATCCTTTACTTAAGTAGAAGTACAGATACTCGTGTTTGAAAATACTCTGGTAAAAGTAGAAGTACTGACGTCTTTACTCAAGTAAAAGTAAAGAGGGCTTTGAAATGTACTTAAGTAAAAAGTACCCATAACTAGCAGCTGTTTTAAAGAGTACCTGACCTCCCTTTATATTAATAGAACAATAATGTCATTGTTAGCTAATGAATGTTTCCATGCTGAACAACGGCAACATGACAACGTTTTCATTGGTCCCTCTTCTTTAGAGAAGACCAGGAAATGATGGATACACGGATCGTGTTCAAATCAATAGGCACGCAATGACTCTAAATAATAATGATCACGCCACCAAACACACATTCAAACTAAAGGAACCAGCCTGTTTGGGAAATGTAAGAAGTAGAAAGTACAGGTATTTGGGTTCAACATGTAAGAAGTAGAGAGTACAGGTATTTGGGTTCAACATGTAAGAAGTAGAGAGTACAGGTATTTGAGTTCAACATGTAAGAAGTAGAGAGTACAGGTATTTGGGTTCAACATGTAAGAAGTAGAAAGTACAGGTATTTGGGTTCAACATGTAAGAAGTAGAAAGTACAGGTATTTGAGTTCAACATGTAAGAAGTAGAGAGTACAGGTATTTGGGTTCAACATGTAAGAAGTAGAAAGTACAGGTATTTGGGTTCAACATGTAAGAAGTAGAAAGTACAGCTATTTGTGTTCAACATGTAAGAAGTAGAAAGTACAGGTATTTGAGTTCAACATGTAAGAAGTAGAAAGTACAGCTATTTGGGTTCAACATGTAAGAAGTAGAAAGTACAGGTATTTGTGTTCAACATGTAAGAAGTAGAAAGTACAGGTATTTGGGTTCAACATGTAAGAAGTAGAAAGTACAGGTATTTGTGTTCAACATGTAAGAAGTAGAAAGTACAGGTATTTGTGTTCAACATGTGAGAAGTAGAAAGTACAGGTATTTGTGTTCAACATGTAAGAAGTAGAAAGTACAGGTATTTGAGTTCAACATGTAAGAAGTAGAAAGTACAGCTATTTGGGTTCAACATGTAAGAAGTAGAAAGTACAGGTATTTGAGTTCAACATGTAAGAAGTAGAAAGTACAGCTATTTGTGTTCAACATGTAAGAAGTAGAAAGTACAGGTATTTGAGTTCAACATGTAAGAAGTAGAAAGTACAGCTATTTGGGTTCAACATGTAAGAAGTAGAAAGTACAGGTATTTGTGTTCAACATGTGAGAAGTAGAAAGTACAGGTATTTGGGTTCAACATGTAAGAAGTAGAAAGTACAGGTATTTGGGTTCAACATGTAAGAAGTAGAAAGTACAGGTATTTGTGTTCAACATGTGAGAAGTAGAAAGTACAGGTATTTGGGTTCAACATGTGAGAAGTAGAAAGTACAGGTATTTGTGTTCAACATGTGAGAAGTAGAAAGTACAGGTATTTGGGTTCAACATGTAAGAAGTAGAAAGTACAGGTATTTGAGTTCAACATGTAAGAAGTAGAAAGTACAGGTATTTGGGTTCAACATGTAAGAAGTAGAAAGTACAGGTATTTGTGTTCAACATGTGAGAAGTAGAAAGTACAGGTATTTGGGTTCAACATGTAAGAAGTAGAAAGTACAGGTATTTGTGTTCAACATGTGAGAAGTAGAAAGTACAGGTATTTGGGTTCAACATGTAAGAAGTAGAAAGTACAGGTATTTGAGTTCAACATGTAAGAAGTAGAAAGTACAGGTATTTGGGTTCAACATGTAAGAAGTAGAAAGTACAGGTATTTGTGTTCAACATGTAAGAAGTAGAAAGTACAGGTATTTGTGTTCAACATGTAAGAAGTAGAAAGTACAGGTATTTGTGTTCAACATGTGAGAAGTAGAAAGTACAGGTATTTGGGTTCAACATGTAAGAAGTAGAAAGTACAGGTATTTGTGTTCAACATGTGAGAAGTAGAAAGTACAGGTATTTGGGTTCAACATGTAAGAAGTAGAAAGTACAGGTATTTGAGTTCAACATGTAAGAAGTAGAAAGTACAGGTATTTGGGTTCAACATGTAAGAAGTAGAAAGTACAGGTATTTGGGTTCAACATGTAAGAAGTAGAAAGTACAGGTATTTGGGTTCAACATGTGAGAAGTAGAAAGTACAGGTATTTGGGTTCAACATGTAAGAAGTAGAAAGTACAGGTATTTGGGTTCAACATGTAAGAAGTAGAAAGTACAGGTATTTGTGTTCAACATGTAAGAAGTAGAAAGTACAGGTATTTGGGTTCAACATGTAAGAAGTAGAAAGTACAGGTATTTGTGTTCAACATGTGAGAAGTAGAAAGTACAGGTATTTGGGTTCAACATGTAAGAAGTAGAAAGTACAGGTATTTGTGTTCAACATGTGAGAAGTAGAAAGTACAGGTATTTGGGTTCAACATGTAAGAAGTAGAAAGTACAGGTATTTGAGTTCAACATGTAAGAAGTAGAAAGTACAGGTATTTGGGTTCAACATGTAAGAAGTAGAAAGTACAGGTATTTGGGTTCAACATGTGAGAAGTAGAAAGTACAGGTATTTGAGTTCAACATGTAAGAAGTAGAAAGTACAGGTGTTTGGGTTCAACATGTAAAAAGTAGAAAGTACAGAAAAATGTACTTAAGTACGGTAACAAAGTATTTGTACTCCACTACTTCCCACCTCTGCTCATGAGGTGTTTCTTTATATCACTCAGAATGACCCTCTGTGTTCCCAGGAACTAAATCATGTGATTAAATAGAAACAGGTTGTTCTCGCCTCCCTGATTCAAGGTTATTACCTCCGTGGTTCACGGTCAAATCTGTTTCTTAGAAATAACACCATTTGGAAAAGGTTGTTGTTACGACATGACCTTGGAAGTGAATAAATAAAGCTTTGTTTTCTTGCAATCCTAAAGGTGGAATACTGTGAAACCATGTCTATAATATCACCTTATTATTATTAGCATTTTGCCCTTTAATGAAGCCACTGTTCTTTGTTGTAGTGCCCTTAGCTTGAGCATCAAATTACTCAAAGTTGGCACTGAGCGCTCAAAATTGTAAGCCTCTTAAATTATTAGTTTATGAAATACTTTTTCTTATATAAAGCATTTTCAAGTTACGACTGTATTTGTTTGATTAGACACGAGTGGATGCTTGTGTTTAAACAAAATAAATGTCACAATTTACAACTTTCCACTTTGTTTTCTTGATGGAGTTTTCTTGCGATCTTAAAGGTGTTGCCCTGGAAACCATGTCCATATTATTACGTTATTATAATGAGCATTTTGCCCTTTAATTAAGCCGTTAAGTGTCTTTAGCTTGAGTATCAGATGACCCAAAGCTGGCATTGAACGCTCAAATGTGCAAGTCTCTTTAATCTTGCTTTTATGAAATACTAATCTGCTTCTTATATAAATAATTAGCAAGTTTAAACTGTATTTTAGTTGGGACATGATTGTTTGCTTGTGCTTAGATGTAAGAAACGTAACAATATAACAGGGTCTAACTTGCCGTAGCGATATAAAAGAGGACGGTAGTGCAGGACTCAGTAAGACAAATGGATCATAACTTTCAAACTGATGTTGCTTGGAGACCAAAGCACTCGCCTGTATCGAAAACTAAAATCTGGCATGAATGACTGAGTCTTGCATTTCAATTAGAGAAATTCAAGAAGCGTGTAGTGAATGGAAAAGGTCATTTTTTTATACTCGTTTTCCCTTTTACTTTACAAATACTGCTACCCACGGAAATAAATTAGTTTTTATGTTGTTGTTTTTTCTTCCCTCATTTCCTCTTATCTGACTTTGCACTTTTCTTGATTCGGCTTTAATGTATTTCATTAATTTCATTGTGATTTATTTTAAATTGCTGCCTTTCTCCTCTCATTTTCAACTTTTTCTAAACTTTGTTTTCTCCTATTTCCAGAGGTGGGAAGTAGTGGAGTACAAATACTTCGTTACTGTACTTAAGTACATGTTTCTGGTATCAGTACTTTACTCCACTACTTATTTTACTGACAACTTTTTACTTTGACTTCTCACATGTTGAACACAAATACCTGTACTTTCTACTTCTTACATGTTGAACACAAATACCTGTACTTTCTACTTCTTACATGTTGAACACAAATACCTGTACTTTCTACTTCTTACATGTTGAACCCAAATACCTGTACTTTCTACTTCTTACATGTTGAACCCAAATACCTGTACTTTCTACTTCTTACATGTTGAACACAAATACCTGAACTTTCTACTTCTTACATGTTGAACACAAATACCTGTACTTTCTACTTCTTACATGTTGAACACAAATACCTGTACTTTCTACTTCTTACATTTTGAACCCAAATACCTGTACTTTCTACTTCTTACATGTTGAACCCAAATACCTGTACTTTCTACTTCTTACATTTTGAACTCAAATACCTGTACTTTCTACTTCTTACATTTTGAACACAAATACCTGTACTTTCTACTTCTTACATGTTGAACCCAAATACCTGTACTTTCTACTTCTTACATGTTGAACACAAATACCTGTACTTTCTACTTCTTACATGTTGAACCCAAATACCTGTACTTTCTACTTCTTACATGTTGAACACAAATACCTGTACTTTCTACTTCTTACATGTTGAACACTAATACCTGTACTTTCTACTTCTTACATGTTGAACCCAAATACCTGTACTTTCTACTTCTTACATGTTGAACACAAATACCTGTACTTTCTACTTCTTACATGTTGAACACAAATACCTGTACTTTCTACTTCTTACATGTTGAATACAAATACCTGTACTTTCTACTTCTTACATGTTGAACACAAATACCTGTACTTTCTACTTCTTACATGTTGAACCCAAATACCTGTACTTTCTACTTCTTACATGTTGAACACAAATACCTGTACTTTCTACTTCTTACATGTTGAATACAAATACCTGTACTTTCTACTTCTTACATGTTGAACACAAATACCTGTACTTTCTACTTCTTACATGTTGAATACAAATACCTGTACTTTCTACTTCTTACATGTTGAACACAAATACCTGTACTTTCTACTTCTTACATGTTGAACACAAATACCTGTACTTTCTACTTCTTACATTTTGAACCCAAATACCTGTACTTTCTACTTCTTACATTTTGAACCCAAATACCTGTACTTTCTACTTCTTACATGTTGAACCCAAATACCTGTACTTTCTACTTCTTACATGTTGAACCCAAATACCTGTACTTGCTACTTCTCTCATTTCCCAAACAGGCTGGTTCCTTTAGTTTGAATGTGTGTTTGGTGGCGTGATCATTATTATTTAGAGTCATTGCGTGCCTATTGATTTGAACACGATCCGTGTATCCATCATTTCCTGGTCTTCTCTAAAGAAGAGGGACCAATGAAAACGTTGTCATGTTGCCGTTGTTCAGCATGGAAACATTCATTAGCTAACAATGACATTATTGTTCTATTAATATAAAGGGAGGTCAGGTACTCTTTAAAACAGCTGCTAGCTATGGGTACTTTTTACTTAAAGGGGCCCTATCATGCAAAATGCACTTTTTGATGTCTTTTATACATCAATATGTGTCCCCGGTGTGTCAGGGAACTCACGCAGCGTCAGAAAATAAAACCCTCTCTCTTTTCCTCCGTACCCAAATCTCTAAAAACGGGGGAACAACGGAGCTGATCCAGATTTGTGTCCGATATGACGTAATATCTGAAATGTGGACCCACGGCCCTATCAGAAACGTTGCTATCAGAAACAATGCCCGACTGTTTTGGACGTAATATGGTCGGTGTTTACATTAGCATCGCTAACACTCAGAGCTAACCTGTACTGGAGAGCATGTGTGTGAAGAAGCAGGAAATAAAAAGGAACTCACCTTGTGGTATAACCGGCAAGAGAGAAAGCCTTTGAGCTCCATACTGTTTCAGAAACAATCCTTGATGTGGTTTGGACGTTTCATCACCGCAGTATCTGCCGGTAGAAATCTCCCGCATGAGCTCAGCCCCCTCCTTTTTTCTTTTTTTTTCAATTCTTTTTTTTTAAAGCTTTATACCCAAATCAGCACTTTTGAAACAGGAAGTGAAACAGAGGGATATGAGGCATGGCTAGAATGGGTGATCTGTTTGGTATTTTGAGCAAAACACTTCATAGACATGTTTTTTATATATTTGTATATATCTGAGACCTATGCTATTGCCTAGAAATAGCATGACAGGTGACCTTTAAGTACATTTCGAAGCACATACTTCTTTACTTCTACTTGAGTAAATAAGTTTAGTCAGTACTTCTACTTTAACCAAAGTATTTTCAAACATCTGTACTTCTGCTTGAGTAAAGGATGTGTGTACTTTTGCCATCTCTGAGGTGCAGAAACAGGTGGTTTGAGGCCGATCATGAGGTGTTTATTTAAGCATTTTGCAGTCATTTTTTTTTATATTGCTACACTCAGATTGACCCTCTGTGTTCCCAGGAACTAAATCATGTGATTAAATAGAAACAGGTTGTTCTCGTATTTTTAAACACGAGTATCTGTACTTCTGCTTGAGTAAAGGATGTGTGTACTTTTGCCTATTTCCATCTTTAGGTCCTGGGAATCGTCTTCTTCCTCTTCCTCATCATGTGGTGTCCCTTCTTCATCACCAACGTCACCTTCGTGCTGTGCCGGGGGTCCTGCAACGAGTCGCTGCTCAACGACCTCCTCAACGTCTTCGTGTGGGTGGGCTACATCTCCTCGGGGGTGAACCCTCTGGTCTACACCCTCTTCAACAAGACCTACAGGAGGGCCTTCTCCAGCTACATCAGGTGTCGCTACAAAGCGGGGGCCAACGCAGCGGGACAGAGCTGTAAAACCTTCCTGGTTGCCCCTCAGTGCCCCTCGCACTCTGTGACCCCCCTCCTGATGGGGAGGGACGGGAAAACGGGCATAGACCGCAATAGTAACTGTCGAAACGGGCGGGGGGACAACGGGAGGCTGACGGTGGACCCGGAGGACTTTACAGACGACGAGACACAAATCGGAATAGTTTCGCAGAGCCTCTCCGAATGCCAGAACACCGGGATGCTCTCGGAAACTGAGGTGGAGCCGGAAACCGAAACAGAGGTGGAAACAGAGGTGGAGCAGGAGCTGTCACTCATCAGCTATAGTCCCGCCTCCAGAGAAGAAACCAGCAGCGTGTGATTACGTAGTTTTTTTTGTCGTTTTTTAAAGTATTCTTTTGTAAACCTGCCGAGCAACGTTTCAGACAAAGCAGACATCGTTGTGATTGGCTGTAAACCTGAGGACTTTTATTGTGAAAGGACTAGATTGATAGAGCCTTATCCTCAAACTGAAGTGCAATACATTCAACAAAGTCAGATTACGAGAGAAACTTTAAGATGAAAGCCAACATTTTCGACGTGTTTCTTTTTCTATCAGGTGACAAAATGTTGGTTGTCATGGCATAAAGGGGAGGATTGAAGCAGTCACAGTGTTCTTGGTGGAGACTAAGGTAGCCATTGGAGAGAAGTTTGACAAGAAAAGCAGTCGGTGAAGAGCTTTTTCTCACAGTTAACCTGGCATGAAGTCAAGAGGCCCTCGATGGAGTCCCACTGACGGAGGTTACAGAGTCAAACCACGACCCGAAGCCTTCACACAGTCCTGATGCAGTCCAAGCAAACTAAACCAAAATCTATTTTTGTGCCGGTCAAGCTTTGACTACAACAGTCATACAATAAAAGATATCTGAATGAACCTTTCCAGCATGTATAGTCAAACTGTTCAGCCGACAGAAACGGTGATTTCTCTCCGAAGAAGGAACCTTTCTCCAGGCTGCCGGTCGGAGTCAGTGAGAGAGGACGGAGAAGAAGGAATGTAGTGGAGTCACAGCGCCATCTGGTGGTCAAACCTTGGATTGAACAAGGGTCTTAAAGAGCTAAAAAAAAAAAACATGGCGTAGGCCTTCGGTCCAACACAGCTGTCGGGCTCTTTGCTTCTGTTGACCACGGAGAATAAATTAGAGTCCCAACATCTAAAGGTTTTTGCTGACAACAATCTATAAAATAAAAGGGAGCAATCTAAAAAGGGAAAATGTGATCGTTTGTAATGTAAGGGTGCACAAACGCTCCTCAGATGTCATTCTTAAAAGGAATAAAATATATATAGATTTAGATTTTCAGCCACTGTCATTGCTTTCATCCATTTGCAACCATCATCACTCACTTTCCAAGATCTTCCTTACTTTCATTTCCCCCAAAACCATGACATTTAATGATGCAAATTCAGCATATTGAGATTATCCTGCACTTCTATCCAACAATTGGCCACTTATACATGTCCTATTATCAGATCACATAGCCAAAGAACAAGAACAAGCAGTTACGGGCTATTTACTTTTTTAGAAAATTAGGGTTTTCTATTGAAGGTCAAGCATTAGACTTGTACTTTTCTCACCAATAAAAACAGGCAGACAGAATTGTCTTGAAGTCAAAGAGGACAAACAGAAGCTTTGGGCATTGAGCTCTGGTGTTTATAGGAGCATATATGCCTCGATGATGGGTTTTAAGGATAAAAAGCTTGCCAATATCTCCAAGAATTGCAGCTTTGACCAGGGACTAAAAATCAGCCCGGGACTCTCGACCGGCCACTTCGGTACCGCAAGTCAATACCGCTAGTAAATTGTCAACGGGGGTGCTAGTGACTTATCCGACCGGCCCACCTCGGTACCGCAAGTAGATACCGCTAGTAAATTGTCACCGGGGGGGGGGGTTTGCTAGTGACTGATCCGACCGGCCCACATCGTCCGACCGGCCCACTTCAGTACCGGCCCATCGGCACAGTCCGTTCAGGGTGACTCAAAGAGCAAATAGCTTTAGATTTCATCTGTAGCATGAATCGGACAGAAAGTCAATACGCTGAGAGACAGACCCTGACTCCATAAATACGCTCTTCAATTGATTTTCTCGCCCTCCCTCCTCTCCCATGTTTTATTGGCATCTGACACGCTGAGTGATTCCTCCGCATCTCCGTCGGCTGAAATATCTGCGAATACACTGCCTTTAGAAGAGGATTTCATATCGTGTGGATTTAGCACCAAACAGATAATAAAGAAGATATAACTCGTATAAAGTGATTGGCTTTGTAGGTTTAGTTTTATAGAGCTAACTGGTTCGTGTTGTAAAGGACATCCATTCAGAAAAGTAACGTCTTAAAGGGCCACTCCACCAATTTGACACTACATTTTAATGTAAAGCGTTTTGAGATACAAATAAATAAATGACCCAGATTATGTCATAGTGATGTCATCTAGGTTACCACGGGTTACAATAATTTATCATTTCAATTTAGAAGATGTTGGGAGCAGCAGAGAGGTTCAATTCAAGATTCTGATGAGTTGCATTGTGGGAATTGTAGTGTTTTTACAGATTGACACTAACGATCTTGATTTCTCCGCCTCTGCTGCTTCGATTTTGTCCAATTTTTTCCTAATTTGTTTCTTTTTAGTCTCTTAACATTATGAAAGTGAAGTGCTACATTGCTGGAGTTCTCCTTTTAAATTAAAAAACGAATTAAAAAAGTGAATTGCTGAGTTTTTCCTTCAAGTCTACGTAGCTGTTATCTTACCAAAGTAGATTTCTCACAGTGATCAATATTTCATTTTGGTCAATCTCCCTTCAGCCATAGGACAGCCAAAAGTACAAACATCTGAATGTAAACCCCCCCTTTTTTTACTCTTTCAAGGTCAAAAAGCAAAGCCGGCAGTGGACCAATCACATCCAGCGCCTGAGGTCTGCATACAGTCAGAATGAGTCTCAATTCATTCTGATTCTGTGCATCTCTGAATCATTCCTCCACCATCTGTATTACTCAGTGGTCCTTGGCACCACTTTTCTCTCCACAGGGGGAGGTCTACATGAGCTAAAGTTGGCAAGCCGCCATGGTTTGCCTACAAATATTCTGCATGTTTGAAGTAATGTTCAAAAGGTCCTCTCTGCCTCATTAGTTTTTATATTTTTGGTTCTCTTTTTTAATACTTGTACGGAAGGAAACTTAGCAAAAAGAACAAACAAAGAGCAATCAACAAAATGCACATTGCAAAGCAGGCATCTTTGTCAAAATACCAACAACAAGAAGAGAAGAAGAGCGGACTATCTGAACTACGGGTCGTCTTTGTTACATCCAGGTGTGAGCAAACAGAACTAAAGTCAGTATGTCTCATTGTAATAACTGTGTGTTTCCCGTGTACCTGTGTGTGTACCAGGCCTGGCTCAGATTGCTACCTGAAAATCATCCAGTAAATGTGTTTATCGATTGTGTCCGGCACGATGGATTGGATCAGTTTGTCCCTGCAGACGCCAACCTGTCCGGCTCACGTCCAACAGATGAAAGCAATCACTGGGACAAAGTGTCTGGAGGGATTTCAACGTGTGATTTGATCCAGGACTGGTGTGTATGGAGGCGATTATTGACAGAGTTCCACTTTGATACATTTCAGGAGGGCTGATTTTGGGTCTTGTTCCCTCTCTCTGACTATTTCTTGTTTTTCAGGCAGCAATGTGTTGTGCAAGAACTGCTTCAGAAAATGTCAGTATGATGTTTACCGCTCAAACAAGCAGAGCATACAGTATGCACACGCTTGAGAGAAAGAAAATCCACAGAGAAAAGCTTTTTTATCACAATATTGAAAAAGGTTGGGGAACGTTAGCCTAGCTTAGCATAATCACTGGTAGCAGAGGGGAAAGCTAGCATGGTTCTGTCCAAAGTTAAACTAAAAGATACAATAAAATATATGAGATAATCAATATAACATGTTGTTTCCTATTTGACTAGTCCGCATTCAAGTTATGGTTGTATTGAGAGTCTTTCACTGGAACCATTTGTATGTTCTATAAAACTGCATTTTGTTAGTTTTTTTACAAATGAAATACGATTTAAGATGTTTATTAGTGGGCTGTGGGGGAGCTTTGGGGAATATCAATTTTTTGTTGGACAGAACCAAGCTAACTGATTACCCTTGTTACCTTGCTTAATGCTAAGCTAGGCTAATTAACTGCTCTTGTTTACTGTACAGACATGAGAGTGGTATCAATCTGTTCATCAAACTCAGTCAATTTGGAAGGTAATACATTTGGAAGTAGCAGCAAATTGCAAAAACTCAACCACAACATATGCCTCCTGGCAATGTCAAAGAATGTAAGAGAATCAAAGGAGGAACTTTTGATAAGGCCAACTTTTTCTACCAATTGTGAGAAATCTTCAGATACTACAGACCATCTGTTATCCCAGCAGCTGTCTCTCCAATCCTCCCAAACATGAAACTCTGTCAGTAACCGTCTCCGAGAAAAGCCAGAGCTGCAGGTTGTTCAAGAGTTTGGCAAACCCAACACGTCTAAAGCACCTTTCACACACACACACACACACACACACACACACACACACACATACACACACACACACACACACACACATACACATACACACACACACACCCCGGTTCTCTGGTTTGTCTCGCTCTTGTTTGATCCGCCGCTGTGGGTTAGTGTTGAACCTTCTTCTGTTATGCAGTGGCTGTTTTTTTTATACCATTTTAATTGTGAATGTTTGTCTACGACACGTTTTGAGTTTATACAATGCCATCATACACACAATGTATATTTCCTTTTTTCTGTGTGATGCTGCTATTTATTTATTAAAATATTATTCTAATGTGTGGACAATTGTCTTATTTGTACACTAACCACATGGCTAATGTTTTAAACGTTGCTTTAAGCCGCGTCTTGAAGTCTCCAGTCGACTAGACTCTCCTTAATATATCTAAAATAAATTAATAATATAAGTTTGGAGCTTAGATTTTTTTAAAAGCCAGCACAGAGAACAGAGAGAGTGTATGATCTGCGGATCGTTGCTAGGATACCATTCGCTTTGTTGGCTGCCCGATGGATATGGTCACTAAATGTCAGGGTATTATCAACATTCACACCACGGTCCTTTTCATTCTGAGTCTCAGATTTGATGACAAAGCTCTGAAACTAGCTGTGAAATGTGAGGGATTTAATAATAATAGTATGTTGGTGCTGTCACTCCTCTCTATTAATATGTATTATATTCTGCCAATCAGTGAGAGCTTTTACAAAGTGCTTCACAATGCAGCCGACAGAGATTATTAAACCCTCAGCCTTGGCTGTGTTTCAGAGCTCTCCTGAGCAGAAACCCTCCTGATATATTCGCTCTCCACACGCTGGAAGAATTAGGCATCGTTTCCTGTTTCCTACCTATGAGACGCTCAGTTGGATGCAGGTCGCTGTTGTTTAATTGCACAAAATGACCATAAAATCGATCGGTGCCGAGCTGTAAATGAGCAGTGATTACTTCAGCAGAAGAAGAAATTACACCTCCTTTATTGCATTTTAAAGAGGCTACAAACCCACATGCATTTCCATCTGTTCAACACTGACTGATGGTGCTGTAAACAAGGTAAGAAGCTACATTTGTGAAACTTGTCTGCAGCTCAAAGCCTATACCATGCACACTCTAGTTTGTTTGGAATACTTGATTCCTCAACAGGACTGTGGCACAATTCTTCTGTGTTGCTGCTGTTCCAACAGGTTTCAAATGGAGGTTGATAAAGGTCATAAATCACTATTTGCACATTTCACAAACAGAGATCTTGTGCTGTGAAACTCACACATCTTAACCAGGTGTGCTAACAACATAGAGTGATTGTGCCACATGTTAGAAACTCACTTCGACTGTTTCTTTGATATTAAAGGGTTTTTTAGCAGCCTATATTTCAATATCAGGGCGTTTTCTTTCCATACGTCAGCTTGCAGTGGTGTCTAAATGGATTCAGCACCAGGGACAGCGACCGAGGAGCCAAACACCTGCAGGAGATTCTGTCTCAAACTCAAGGCAACAGCGACACTCAGTGGTGGAGATGGGGAATAGCAGGTTACGTCTTAAGTCTGCAACGCACTTTATACTGGTTTTAATCACTAAATGAATGCAGTTATATCTTTTCACAAACTGTTATTAGACCAACAAGGTGTCTGTTATCTAACTGGTCAGGGTTGGGTTATTAGGCGTTAAGAGGAGCCTAGATCCAAGTCCACAACAATTAATTTACTGTAAATAATAGTATAGACTAGACTAATAATTTAAAAATGCAACCTTAAGATGCTGTTTAAATTACGTGTCAAAGAGATTAATATGACATTGGAGAAATCGGTCTGTTATCTCCATCCATGTCAACAACTACTTAATACTGTACATTTTAGTAACAGTAGTCTAGACTTAAAATGTGCCTTAGATGTTGGTAATTTATAGGATTATACATCTGCAATAGTGACAGGTGAGAATACAAGTGAGTATTGCATACTGTATGTCGACCAATTGCTTTTCAACCAAGAGTGCAATATAATGTTTTTAATAATGTTCCATTACAGTTCCACACATCGTAAAATGCATACTTTTTAAAATGGATGTGTTTAATTGAAAGATTATACATCCACAGTTAAGAAAATAATGTTGTTGTTCCTGTATCTTTGTCTATTTAGCATGTGCGCATACAGGTGGAATGACGCCAGTGAATAAGCTGGTGTATCTGTGTTTGGCATTACGTCATTTTTTAAAGAGAAACGACGCTATGGCCCCCACGTGTTTACATGGAGAGTGGTGTGTGTATTCTGTAGTCTCGCAGCAGCCTCCACAAAGTGGGCGGTGTCCTCGTGAATCTCCGGAAACACTCGCGAGGCTTCGGATACGCACGCGCCTACACACCGATTTGCTGCATCTCCCAAATCCGTTAGAGCTGCGTCAAGCTAGCGCGAGGAACCACTTGAAATACGAGCAGTTAAACCTTTAAATATTCAACATAAAGTCACTCTTGAGTATTGTTGCACTAATGTACAAGTCTGCCTATGTATTAATGTACAGAATGACTGTTCTTTGCAGAGACGCGACTTGTAGTCTTAGCATTGGTTTTAGCTACCATGTGGTGGTCAGGCTAATTAGCTTCACCTGTTCACCTTCAAATTAACAACACTAGTACCAACATACAAACATGTGCAAGCTGTAAATGACTCTTGACAAAAGCATTAATCTGTGACGTTCATAGGTTAGAAATGGCCTCAAAAGACAAGAACGTTTTGTCATAGTGTGCTTTTGCATATGTCAACGTTTATCCACTGCTATCAAATGTTTTCTTATTTTTTTTTGCATTAGGCATCGTGGAAAAACTCAGTAATTGTATTGAATACATAATTAAAGACCACCTAAACTGTATAGCTTAGGCATTCATATTTGTGCAACATTTAGCAGCTAGATCTTTCTTTAAAAATGTTTAATTTAATTTGAATACCCATGCTACTGTATAGGCTATGCACAAAAGGTGCTGTGAAGAAATTGAGACATGCACGTCTTTTGCATTAACCTCTGTTAACAATATTGATATTGTTCTATAGTCTTGTGTTATCTTTTATTACATGTGTTAATGAACCAATACAATACAGATAAGCATTTCACGTGTAATGTATATTGGCATCCAGCTGAATATAATTAACTTATTAACTCAAGCATTTTAAATTCAAGTTAAAATGATTAAATAGCTGATTTCTAAAAAGATTCAGGAATAAATTACAGGTTCCTCTTTCTTAGTATATTTTCCCCTTGTTTGGTAACTTTAATTGCGACTTTTAGTTTGAAATGTGAAACCGGAAGTGGTCTGTTCTCCACTACAGGCTGCAGCTTGACGCTCGTCAGGTCGACGGACGCTGCCTTGGAAACGACATAAATCCTGTCCACGCAGCTGGGTCGCCAACAGGGACCCACATTTCCTCACTTCACAGGCTCCTCTTCCTCCTCCTCCTCCTCCTCCATCCATCGAGCTGCAAACATGGGCGAACCGAAATGAGATGCAGAGCAGCAGAGAAGCATCGGATTGAACCATTTAAATAGACAAGAAGAAGAAGAAGAGACTGCAGCCAGGTAAGACTGATTGGATTTTAAAAATCCGCGTTGCATGTGACAGCTATGGTGTGGCCACATGCCTTCTTTCATGGAGGGACGTTTGTTATTGTTGTTGCGTCGCGCACACACATGCAGAATTGTCCAATGCATCCTCACTAATGGAGAGCTTCATGATTACTAATTAGCGCCCATGTCTCTGCAGCTCCAATGCTCCTTCTCCATTTTTATCGTGACCGTGCTTTTCCAACGCACTGGTCAGGTGTGTCTCTCTCTCTGGTAACAAAATGTCACCAGCTGGTTGTATGTGTCATCGGGAACGAGCTTTTTTGGATGCATGTCGACTAGAAAAGAGAGCAGTGGGGCTTATAAGGGAGGTGTGTGGAGGATTAGTGTGTGATCCATTCTGTCTGCCTGTGCACTGCTCAAATAGCATGGGTTTGGTTTAGATATATGAGATGTGTGATTACGTGCACCTTATTCTATGTTAACAACACTATTGGTATATCTATATGTATCAAAATGCATCAAATCTTATGAAATCTATGTATTCTTTTTGATCTTGGATAAGTGATAGTAGGCCCTTGCCCATCTTTCTATCATGGCTAATTCTGCTGTTGCTGCTCTCGATGCAGCTCCTGTTGCTCACCTCTGCTAGTTGAATCTCTGTCCTCTGCTCTAATCTGAATTCAGTTAGTGTTTGGTTTATGCTCCAATCATTATACCTACATATAGTTGATGTTTTATGATTAAAAAATCCAAGTTCAACTGGTACAGAGGCCTAAAATGTAGGGGGGGAAATCGAGATATCAAGCACTGAATTTCTAATCCAATATTTCAAGACATCCTGGTATTTAATGCAGCTGTGTATTAGCAATGTAATCATTATCATTGTGGGAATTTGTCATATTTAATCAGTCAATGTTGAAGTCTTTTCAAGCTCAATAAGCCTTATTTAGTTATTTCATTTGTGAGCATTTGCCTACATTCTCTGTTTTAATAGTAATGTTAACTCAATATCTTCAGGGTTTGGATCACTGATCAGACAAAACAGGCACGTTTAAATTTGCCTAAGACTATGGGAGATTGTGGAAACCAAATAATCCATCAATTACCCCAAATGATCAGCAAAAGGGGGGTTAAAATCAAAGCTGTTGTTGCACAATGTATGTTTCGCACTAATGATTTCCTACACATTTCTCAGTTTCCAGACAAACTATTTAAAGAACCGTTCCATTATTTTTGTATGTTTAAGAAATATTATATTGTCACAAGTAGGACTGCTTTGAGGTTTGAAGAGTTTAGTGACACTTGCGTTCTTTCTAGATGGCTAAAATAGATTCCACAGGGTAGTCATTGTATGTATAACTTCTCAAATGTTACCACTCCACTAAGTAAATCTAACTCAACACTAATATTATAACTGAGAATGACCTTTCTGCCAATAACAATAAGTACTCTTTCCATTTCTGCAAACAGTCCTTTCAAGTCTAGACTCAAGCTTTGGTTAGCAGTGATTAGAGGTGTGTGTGTGTGTGTGTGTGTGTGTGTGTGTGTGTGTGTGTGTGTGTGTGTGTGTGTGTGTGTGTGTGTGTGTGTGTGTGTGTGTGTGTGTGTGTGTGTGTGTGTGTGTGTGTGTGTGTGTGTGTGTGTGTGTGTGTGTGTGTGTGTGTGTGTGTGTGTGTGTGTGTGTGTGTGTGTGTGTGTGTGTGTGTGTGTGTGTGTGTGTGTGTGTGTGTGTGTGTGTGTGTGTGTGTGTTGTAGTGTGTGTGTGTGTGTGTGTGTGTGTTGTGTGTGTGTGTGTGTGTGTGTGTGTGTGTGTGTGTGTGTACAGTGCTGCTCAGACAAGCTTGCGCTGATATCTTACATAAGCAACTCATAGAGGAAGGGGGGGCAAAGGAGGCTGAAATAAATATGCATAAACGTTCAAACAGAAGCAGCTCAACACACACTCCTATTTACACACACAGTAACTTAATGTCAGCAGGAGAAGTGAAGGCGAAGGCGGTACACAAAAGCATATCCTCTGCTGAGGGCACAAAGTGGTATTTTCTGTTTTTTTTAAGCGACTCTAAATGCACACTTCTCATTTATTCCCAAAGGAGTTTCTTTTCTACCCTGCACAGAAACTTCTACGGCTTAGTATTGATGCATTTTTAATGGGTTAAAGACACAAGGACGTTTTGTTGAGAAAGTTGGGTACCACTTTACAATAAGACTACCCTTATAAAGGATTCATAGAGGGTTTATAATTAGGTTATGAATTAGGTTGTAAACACTTTATAAATCATTAAGAGCCATTTATAAACCAGTTCTAACGTAGTTTTCATACATCATCACAGGCTCACTATTTGGCAAGAACACGAACAAATGCCAAACTTCATTGCATCTCATCAAAAGGTGTTAGTCTGTGGAATAACTGTACTGATGCACTGACATATTGTCTATCTAAACTGAAAGTATTATTTAGGAGCCAAATCATTAATGGTTATGAACAGGACCTGTGAAATCCCATTTGTTATTTCTTGTAAAAGTAATTTCTTTCTGATTGTTTTGTCAAAAAAAAAAAAAAAGACAAAGACAAACAAGACAAACATGTCGCTGATGACGATCACCTAATATTTTATTTATAAGGAAAATGTATGCTTGAGGGGGTAGGACCAGAAAAGTTTTTTTTAAGCTTCTTCTTGCCCCTGTTGAACATGACAGAGACCATTTGAGAATTATTATTATTATTTTTATTTTTATTTTTTTTGTATTTTGGCATAATTATTATGAGTGAGAAAGGGAGAAAAAAAGAGAATATGTGTATATATGTGTATATATGTATATGTATATATATATATATATATATATATATATATATATATATATATATATATATATATATATATATATATATATATATATATATATATATATATATATATATATATATATGTATATATATATATATATATATATTGACTAAAAAAGATGACTAAGCCTTATATTGGCTACTTAGCGAGAATGAACTCAGTGAGCAACAGATACCAAGGATGCTGGCTGATGAAGAAGACGAAGTAAACTAGGTAGCCAATATAAGACTTAGCAGTACAGATAAATGTGGGCTCACTATTTGGCAAGCAACCGGTCGCCCTGTTTATCTCATGTCTTTATAAAAGCTTATTAATGATTTATAAAGTGTTCACAACCTAATTAACAAATAAATTACAAACTATTCGTAAACCCTTTATAAGGGTAGTCTTATTGTAAAGTGGTACCGAAAGTTGTAACAAAATGGGGTTCAAGGTAACTAATGTTGCATACATCCCACTGTAGACAATTCATTCGGGAAACTTTTCGAATGAGAAGAACGTTCATCGTGAATCTACAGCTATCAGGTGGCTAGCTTGGCCAAACTCTTTCCTGCCGAAAACACAGCGGATGATTAGGATTCCAGAGGTTTACGCTGTGTTTTCACAGTGATCTGTATTTCAGGAGTCATCCGCACTCTGGGTAGAAGGCACATTATGCGTATGGGTTTTCCAGATGCATGGACGCTATTCCCATTCACCCCCCCCCCCCCCCCCCCCCAGGAACTTGTGCTGTTACTGAGCCTCTGGTTTGTTCCTCTTTGAACCAGATCTGCTGCATTCATAATGGGTTCCAGGTGAAAGGAAGTGGGATCTGATTGGAGTATTCAGACAGATCTCTGCCTCGGACACATGTTCAGCACGTCTCATGGTGGGCTAATGGTTTGAATTAACTCTGAAGACACACGGCAGCCTCTTCACAGTGATGTGTGCACTTTAAGATCCACTCCGGGGCTGCTTTGAATAACCATCCGACAAATTGAATAGGATGTCCTCATGAGTCTTTCATACAATATACTCCTCTCTGTTCCCATTAAAAGTAAGTATAGCTATATATAGAAGATGGTTACAATGAAAGCTGCTAAATATAGAAAATGGCCTATACTCTGCTGTGATGAATGGGCTGAAAACACACTTCCTTAGCTTCATCATGCTAGCCAGGATCCTCTATAATCCATGTAATGCGGCAGCAAAGGATTATTTTCACTATGAATTAATCCACCAATGCTTGCCTCGATTAATCAATGAATTGCTTGAATCATAAAAGGTCAGAAAATTACAAATGTTTTTGAAAGTGATAAAAGCAAAGTCTTGTTTTGCCTCCTTTGTTTACTTCTGTTACATAAGGACATCACTATGTAACACTCACGCTGCTATTGGCTAGCGCTCCAACACATTGTATGTGATAGACTAAGGGGCGGGACATCTCTAAGCGGTTGACCAATCACAACAGAGCCGGCCAGCTAACCAATCAGAGCAGACTGGGCTCTGGTTTCAGACAGAGGGTGAAAAAAGGTGCTGCAGCACAGGCAGTATGAGAAAAATAAAGAGCTTTTTGAACATTAAAGCATGGAGACACGTAGAGACACTACATACTGATATACACCTGAACATCAGCAGGAGAGGACTCTTTAAAGTAGAGACACTACATACTAATATACACGTGAACATCAGCAGGAGAGGACTCTTTAAAGTAGAGACACTACATACTAATATACACGTGAACATCAGCAGGAGAGGACTCTTTAAAGTAGAGACACTACATACTGATATACACCTGAACATCAGCAGGAGAGGACTCTTTAAAGTAGAGACACTACATACTGATATACACCTGAACATCAGCAGGAGAGGACTCTTTAAAGTAGAGACACTACATACTGATATACACCTGGACATCAGCAGGAGAGGACTCTTTAAAGTAGAGACACTACATACTGATATACACCTGAACATCAGCAGGAGAGGACTCTTTAAAGTAGAGACACTACATACTGATATACACCTGAACATCAGCAGGAGAGGACTCTTTAAAGTAGAGAGACTACATACTGATATTCACCTGAACATCAGCAGGAGAGGACTCTTTAAAGTAGAGACACTTCATACTGATATACACCTGAACATCAGCAGGAGAGGACTCTTTAAAGTAGAGACACTACATAC